ACCTCACTGTCACATGCCTCCCTTACCAAAGTGCACTTCAATATTAGCGGTTTGTCTACACTGGGCTTACCCTTCCCACACTATCAACCTGCTTTAAGCAGAGAAAAACTCACTGGAGTGTGGTCCATGGGCAGCAGCCTTGGTATCACCTGGGAGCTTGTAGGAAATGCAAAATCCTGGGCCTTCTCCAGTATGGGTCAGAGCCTGCACTTTCTCGAGCTGCCCAGGTGACTGATGTACACATTCAAGCCTGAGGAGCCCTGCTCCAAACAATGACGAAGTCCCATGCTCCATTTCTGCCCGTTTTGCACTTTTGTAGAGTTAAGAAGAGCAGCTTTCCTGACACCATAGTCATGGCTCTTTACCAGTAAATTAACAGGAATGCTCATTTTTTAAAAATTTGCTATTTTGCTAGGCTTTTGAACCTTGTTAGAACACTATCTGTTTGGATCACAATAAATAAGAATGAATAAAATGGGATAAAATTGATTAAATATGATTAAATATTAATTCCTAAGTAGGCAGAGTTTCATGTATAAGTATATATAAAATATAAAACACATGGTTTTTCATATGTACATGCAAATAGCAGACATTTGTGTAATAAAAACCCAAGCAACTCATGCTTATGTCATATGCCCAGGACATATTTCATTAATTAAATAAAATAATTTTTTAAACCTCACAGAATTCATGCTTTCTTCCCAAATTGGATATAAAAGCACCAGTTTGTCTTAATTACAATGAATTAAAATATACAGACGAAAAGGTTTAATAATGGTACCCTTATTATATTTGGGGTGATAGGGTATTTATCAGAGTTCTACTGAAAACCAATACATAGCTCATATATGCTTGCATATTACCATATAATTTTAAATGCCTAGAATCCAGGAATTTTCTAGTAAAATGACCCCTGTTCTCTCAAACTCTATCCTGTGAACTCCTAATACGTACACAAACAGTACATACTCGACACAAACTAGCCTGGCTGCTTCATTAGGACTAAGAACTGCAAAGTACTAAGGGATACACCTCTCTCTCTCTCTCTCTCTCTCTCTCTCTCTCTCTCTCTCTCTCTCTCTCTTTCTCTCTCTCATGCTTTTAAAAAACACTGAAATATATTTGACCTATTACAATGAGTAAATTTAATCTGCACAGCATGCTAATTTGATACATTTATATAGTGTAGTATGATTGACATTGTAGTGAAAGTTTGCACCTCTGCCAGGTCACATAATTATCACTTTTTTTGTGTGTGTATGTGTGTGGTGGGAATATTTAAGATCTAGTCTCTTAGCAAGTTTGATGTTTATAATACTGTTGTCTATATTCTCCATACTGTGCATTAGATCTCTAGGCTTTATCTACTTACTAGTTTACATTTCTCTCTCCTTGTTCTGTTTCTTACAAGTCTACAGTATGTATACTGCAGAGTCTTTAGAAAGGATGAGGCCCCACCCCCCATAAATATAGACAATATATAAAAACAACAACAAAAACAATGAAACAAAGACTAACATCAAACCAAACCAACCCCAAAATCCTCACTCGCCACTATGAGGAAGTCAGCAAACACTCCTGCCCTACCTGTATCCAGGCCCAGGAACACTGGGGGAAACCTGTCAGTACTCCAGAATCCACATTGAGCACAGGTGGCAGAAGCCCACCACTAGAGGAATTTAAACTCTGTGCACTGAAGAAACTGTAGTTACAGCAAAACCCGAGTCCCGTTCAACCACTGACTAGAATAACTCACGCTGCACACTACCTGCACGCCTGGTAAAAGAAAGAGGTGCCCATTTCTGAGCGTAAGTACTATTTACTTAGGGCTCTACTGTTCTTTAACATACAATGTCAGGTATTAAATACAAATAAAAAATTCTTTTCATCAAACTGGATACAGCACAGGAAACAATCAAATAACTTGAAAATAAGGCAGCAGAAATGACTCAAAATGAAACTCAAAGATGATAAAAAGAACAGAGCATCCCAGATCTGAGATACCATGTCAAACATGTGTACTATAATCCAGAAAGAGACAGAGAGAGAAGGGGCTGGGAGGAATATGTGAAGAGATAATGAATGGCCAAAAACTTTGTAAAATTAATGAAACAAAACAAACCACAGACCAAAGAAGCTAGAAGAGCTCCAAGCAGCATCTCTCTCTCTCTCTCTCTCGCCCCTCCCTTCTACTCACTCTAAAAAATAAAATGGAAAAAATGTATCTTCGGGTGAGGATTCACAAAATATTTAAAAATTATTTTTAAAAAGATACAAAAACTGAGTGAGGGTTTCAGACAACAACAACTATAAGATGAAAAAATGTTCAGAGAACTACCTAAAAAAAGTAGAAACAAAATCAAGGGGACAAAGAGTGAGAGGTGAGAGAGAAGAAAAATAGATGAAATGAATGTTACTTGCAAAACCATTTCAAAGAAGTCATTTGTAATAAATATATAAGAACCAATTTTTTTCAAGAAGGCTAAACTGTATCTAATCAGATAGAACACATCTAAGGAGCAGTGATCTGTTCATACAGTGCAAAACAAGGCTCCAAACTTATTTAGTATCTTCTAGATCTGCCCAGGAAGAAGGTATTTAATCAGGGACCTGTAAAACACCTTTATTCTCTTATCCTTACTCAGCCCAGCCCTTCTTCTTTCTTGGCTCATACCTCCACTGTTCATACAAATCCAATGTTCCCTCTATAGTCTTTAATATTCTACCAAGGTAAGTCTTTATGTCTACTGTCTTTACCTAAAATCTTCCCTCACATTCCCTTATCTTGCATGTAAATTAAATATAAATTTTACCTAAGAGTAATCATAATTCTATAAACGTTAAATATAACCTTACTGTTTCTAAAACACATTTTTTTGTATTCCATCGTTTGATCTTTATGGCAACATCATGATGTATTATCATCTTACAAACGGAGCAAGGGTAAGACATGACTGAAGGCCATCTCAGTTCTGGTACTCCCAACAGCCCTTTACAAATTCACCTCAAATAAAGAGCAGAATTCACTTGCTGGCTCGGGATATTGCAGTTCCTTAAGGTCCCCAATGACTTTCTGTTCAACAAATCCAATGTATATTTTATAGTTCTCTTATATGACTTCTCTGGATCAGTAACTCTGTTGAATTGCTATCTTCCTTCAGCAATTTTTGGGACAACTCAACACTATTGCTTTTCAATAGCTATTCCTTCTCATTCGAAGCGCCTGTCTTTCTACACTTAAGTGTTAGGTCCTGTCCTTGGCTTTTATCTGTCTTCATGCTCTAAGTTTTTCCTGGGCAATCTCACCCAAACTCTAAACTTCGGAAGCCAATTACATTCTGATAACTCTCAGAAGCACATATTGGGTCCTGAATTTCATTCTCAATTCCACATTCTTATCTTAATCAAATTGAGCTTATCTTCAAAGTTAATATGGCCAAAATTAAGTCATAACCTTTTTCTCTTTTTAAAATCTTTTCCCCTTATATGCCTATCCCATATTCCCAATTCAGAAATCAGGGTCATCAGATATGTTAGGTCCCACACAAATCCTCATACCTATTCTATTCTAAACCACTGTCAAGTCTGTTTTGTCTTTTCTATCTTTGTTACCACTGCTTTAGCTCAGTCTTTACCATCTCTCTCATCTGGACTACTGATTTATACAGTAAGCATCTGAACACTAACTTCACCCTTTCAATTCATTCTTCATACTGCTGAAAAAATTCTTTTAAAACACCCATCAGACTAAATTACTGGCCCCTATCTTCAATAATCAAAATCAATCCCCTTCTTCTCCCCCAGCTGATACCCAACAGGGTAAGTCCAAACACCTTGCCATTCAAAACACTCAATGATTTGGACTAAACGTACCCATCCAGGATCATTTCCTCCGTTTTTCCTTTGCGATTTCCATCTCACCACTGCAAGTTGTACTTTCATTACATCAAATTCCTGATGTGTCCTAAACACATTACAATAGTGCTATCCAACAGAATTTTCTGTGATGAGATGTTCTATGTCCATTCTATACAGTACCAGTCACATGCGGGCAACCAGGGAACTGAAAATGTGGCAAGTACTGAATTTTTCATTTTATTCAACATGAATCAATTTAAATTTAAACTGTCACATGTAGCTCATGGCTACCATATTAAACAGTGCAGGTCTATGATCTCTTATCTCTCTATATTGGGATATGTCCTTCCGTCCAGAATGTTCCTTTCTTTACCCCTTACTTGTTGACATGGTGTTTTTCTATTCATCTCTCAAGTTTTACTCACTGACTGTTTTATACAAAGTCTTCTTTGCTCCTAACAACTCCCACAACAGTTTATGCCAAAAGATAAAAATTAAAAAATAAGGTACCATTTATCATACTGTGGTTATTCTTTCAAGACATTTGCAGTGTTTGTTGTGTGTTAAATGCTGTGCACGACAATGATATCACAAAGAAGAATAAATCAAACTCTGTAATAAATGTTTGCTATTAGGACAAACAAAGAACTGCTAAACTATGTGAAAGGTGCTATCCTGGAAACATGTGCCAATATTGTTCTCTGGACAATGCCCTGTTCTTTCTAAATCCTGATGCTTTTTCACATACTTTTCTTTTTGTCTGGCACTCCCTCCTTTGCCTTCTCTTCTTGGTTAAATTCTTTGTGCTTTAAGATTCAGTACCGGGAAAATATCTTTATCACACTGCATTACAATATCTTATTTGTTTCCCCCATACAGTCCATAAGACAGTACCTAGTATATAGCTGGCATTCAAAAACTGTTTGCAAAATATATGTCTACTTACTAAGCAAAAAAAATATTATCAATTAACATTATTCTTACTTTCACTTTTTCCAATAACATACACAACTCTGACTTTTCACTGAACCTTATAAGGCGAATTTACATCTTTGGTAAATGGACATATTCTGAAAGATCTACGAGTCAAGTCAAACTGAACACATCCAAAACTTATTTAACGTATCCAAAAAAACTACCTGAGCCTTGCTTGAGTCCCTGCCTCTTCAGGGGACCAATACCTACAAGGAAAAAAACAGGTTTTATGCATTTTCCAACCAAGTACAATAAATGTTATACATGGTCCACTTTTACTCAAAACACTACAACTGCCTATCAACTATTTTATCTTTCACTACCTTCTCTCTTAAATCAAACCAAATGACCTAAGAATTATGCAATGGCCATTTTATAATTTTGGTTGTAAATGCTCAGAAGAGTAAAAAGTAATATCTTTCAAAGAGCAAAACCAAAATTACTCACTTTTTATTCTTTCTTCTCCTATTATGCAGAATTCCTATGAAATTAAATAAATGACAACAGAAAAAACCTTAGGGATAATAAAAGTGTACCACCAACAAGTATTTGTTGCACTGAGTTAGTAAAAGTTCTATTTGTACATGAAAGTAAAGAATCATAAATCAATTTAACATGATTATTTGGAGCTCTGCTTTCAACTTCCAGCCTTGTTTCTGATCTTAAGTGGAAAACTATATAGTCCTCCCCTTTAAGAATAAGTGCAAGTTTTTCACAAATGTCCTAAAACAGACTGAGAAATTCCATTCTATTTCAAGTTGTCAAAGAGATTTATAATGAACTAGAGGCCCAGTGCACAAATTTGTACACGGGTGGGGTCCCTTGGCCTGACCAGCAATCGGGGCCAATCAGACCGGCCGGTTGGGAGAAGGTACCGTGGCAGGTTGGCCGGCTGTGGAAGGTTGGCTGTAGGAGCACACTGACCACCAGGGGGCAGGTCCTGTGTTGAGCGTCTGCCCCCTGGTGGTCAGTGTGTCATCATAGCGACCGGTCAACCGGTTGTAAAGGTCGCTTAGGCGCATATATATATATATATATATATATATATATATATATATATATGTATATATATATCCTATCTAATAAAAGAGAAACATGGTAATTAGCCATACATCCGCTACCCTTCCCATTGGCTAATCAGGGTGATATGCAAATTAACTGCTAGCCAAGATGGCGGCCAGCAGCCAGGCAGCTTGAAGCGAACATGAGGCTTGCTTGCTTCAGTGACGGAGGACTCCAATGTTCACCGCCTGCCGCTGCAGGCCTCTGAGCTTGCAGTTTGAAACATTGTTATAAATATAGAAGCTAAACAAAACCCCAGAAACCTGATTTCAAGCAGCCGGGATCTCAGAGCTGGAGTTGAAACAATGTTTCGATTACAGAACCCAAACAAACCAGATACCTGCTTTCAGCAGCGGAGGCCTAAGAGCTGGAGCCAAGCCTCAGAGCTAAAGCTGGCCCAGAATTTAAAAAATAAGAAAAAAAGGAGTGGTTGGGAGCTTCAGTCAACCGCCAGCCTGAAAACAGCCCTCAGCCCCTCACCCAAACTGGCCAGGCACCCCAGTGGGGACCCCCACCCTGAAGGGTGTGTGACCAGCTGCAAATAGCCATCATCCCCTCACCCAGGCTGGCCAGGCACCCCAGTGGGGACCCCCACCCTGAAGGGTGTGTGATCAGCTGCAAACAGCCATCATCCCCTCATCCAGGCTGGCCATGCACCCCAGTGGGGACCCCCACCTGATCCAGGACACCCTTCAGGGAAAACCAGCCGGCCCCCACCCGTGCACCAGGCCTCTATCCTATATAGTAAAAAGGTAATATGGCTCCTAGCACCGGGATCAGCGTGACAGGGGGTAGCGCCCAAACCCCCTGATCGTCCTGCAGCTGTGTGTGTGACAGGGGGCGGGGCCACAACCTCCCTATCTGCCCTGCTCTGTTCATGACAGAGGAAGGCACCCCAACCCCCTGATCAGCCCTGCTCTGTGCCTGATAGGGGGGAGCTCCCCAACCCCCGATCGCCCTGCGGCTCTGTGTGTGACAGGGTGCGGCGCCCCAACCCCCTGATCGGCCCTGCTCTGTGTGTGACAGGGTGCGGCGCCCCAAACCATCCCCCCCCATGGGCCCTGCTCTGTGTGTGACAGGGTGCGGCGCCCCAAACCACCCCCCCCCATTGGGCCCTGCTCTGTGTGACAGGGTAGAGCCATAACCTCCCCATCGGCCCTGCCCTGAATGTGACAGGGTGCAGTGCCCCAATCCCCTGATCGGCTCTGCTCTGTGTGTGACAGGGGGCGGTGCCCCAACTCCCCTATCAGCCCTACTCTGTGAGTGACAGGGGCGAGCTCCTCAACCCCCTGATCAGCCCTGCTCTGTGCGTGACAGGGTACGGAGCCCCAACCCCCCTGATGGGCCCTGCTCTGTGTGTGACAGGGGGCAGCGCGCCAACCCCGATTGGCCCTGCTCTGTGCGTGACAGGGGGTGGCGCCGCAACCTCCCCATCGACCCTGCCTTGAGTGTGATAGGGGGCGGTGCCCCAACCCACCAATCGATCCTACCCTGAGCGTGACTGAGGGTGGCATCGCAACCTCCCGATCCGCCCTGCTCTGTGCATGACAGGGGGCGGCGCCCCAACTCCCCAATCAGCCCTGCTCTGAGCCCAACCAGGGGCTGCACCTAGGGATTGGGCCTGCCCTCTGCCACCCGGGAGCAGGCCTAAGCCAGCAGGTCGTTATCTCCCGAGGGGTCCCAGACTGCGAGAGGGCACAGGCCGGGCTGAGGGACCCCCCCCCCTCCCCCCCAAGTGCACAAATTTTTGTGCACCGGGCCTCTAGTATATATATATATATGGATGTTGCATTCTGTCATATTTTTTTCATCCATTAAGATAATCATACAGGTTTTTTTTGCTTTTGGTTAAGATGGTGAATTACACTGACTATTTTTAAATTTTGGTCATGATTAATATATTATAGATTTTTTTATGCAGCTGGATTTGACTTGCAAATATTCTGATGAGAAATACCCTCTCTTCTTCAATTTTTAGGAATAGTTTGTGTAGAACTACGTTCAGGGAAGAGGCCCGTTTGTGACTGGCCCTTGAATGACTCTTGGGAATTGACCTCTTAGGATGTTCTGATAAAAACTGTTTTGCCCATTTAGAGCCTTGAACTGTACCAATTTGTCTAATAGTTTGTGAAAATGATGTGAACATCTGCTTTTGGTAACTACACTCAGTCACGCAGGCACTGTGTGACTGATGCCCAGTGAAGACCATGAAGTCGGTGAAAGAGCCACTGGAAGGCAGGAGGCTGAATAAGTGCCAGAGCTCACACAGGGATAAAAAGACATAGCATTCCCATCAGCCAGAACAGAGAAACTATATATTACACAAGTATTCGATAGGGTCCTCAGAGAAGTCACACCTTAAAAATGGCCCCAGAATAAAAATTGCTATGGACATACTGAAATGATGCTTAAAAACAAGATTCAAAAGACATAAAAACCGATTCCAAATAACTTTGTTTCAGTGTCTGAATAATGATCCAACTTTTTATAATCTACAAAAAGTAAAACAAATTAAGGTTCACAGGGTAGAGGATAAAGGTTAAATGTTACTTTGCAAGTTTCCTCTAACAAGTCAATATTAATTCTATTTTAATAAAGTGCATACTGTAATCCCTAAAGCAACCACTAAACAACACTGCAAAGGGGCACAACTAAAATTCCAACAGGGGAATCAGTATAATGCACTAAACATTCAGCTAATACAAAACAGGCAGAAAAGGAGGCTCGGACAAATATGACAATAGCACAATGGAAGCCCTAAATCCAACCATATCTATAATTAAATAAGTGTAATAAACTAAGCACTCATTTCAAAATACAGACTGTCAGACTGGATATAAAAAACAACACCCAGCTATATACTGCATATAAAAATGCACTGGGGGGGGAAAGCAATAAATACATTTCAAGTATAAAGGATGGAAGAAGATAGGTCATGCAAACAGTAAGCATAAGAAAGTTGTTGTGACCATATTAATATCAAAATAGACTTCAAGGGTGTAGGTATTACCACAGACATAGAGGCAAATTTCATAATGAAAGGGTAAATACATTATGCACATATAACAATAACAAAGGTATATATACTTAGTACTATAGCTTCAAATGACACTATCAAGTGCCTTGATTCAATTAACATTTAAATTTAGAAAACACTACTACTAACAACTACAAAATACATAGTACTAGTATATATTCTTTTCAAGAGCACATAGAATCCTCAAGATATACCACATACTGGGATGTAATACAAGTCTCATTAAATTTTAAAGGATAAAATTATATAGAGTATGCGTAGCATAAAGTAATTAAGTTAGAAAGCAATAACAATGTACTCTAAATAATTCATGTAAAAATTTTTCAAAAAATATTTCAAACTGAATGATAATGTAAATACATTATTCCACAAATTATGTAATGCAACGAAATCAGAGCTTAAATGGATATTTATAGTTTTTAATGCTTATGTAAAAATGAAGAAAGTCTTTACAATGATCTGTTTCCATCTTATGATGCTAGAAAATAATTGGAAAGAATCCATATAAGAACAGGAAAAAAACAAAACAAAAAAACAGACATGATGGAAAATTAAAAATGCCCAAAGTGGGCTTCTTGAACATTAATAAAATGGATAAGACCATTGCAAGACTAATAGGAAAGAAGAAAAATACTAATTGCCAATATGAGGGGGAAAAAAGGCGGTATCACTACAGATTTTATACAAATCAAAAGGAAAATAAGTGAAATCCCACTTCCTGCAATGATGAAATAGTGTTTGTTTTTGTTTGTTTGTTTTTGAACAGTTTGTTTTGAACCAACTCTTCCACAGGTAACAATTTAAAGTTCTAGACATAAAACTCTAGATGTAAAAAAACAAAACAAAAACCACCTACCTCAAGGCACTGAAGGTTAACCCGAAACAGGAAAAGTAGAGGGGGTTGCCAATTAGAAGAAGGAAACACTGGGTTAGTTTCCTGTTCTAAGGCTTTTCCCCAGAGTGCAAGTACCATATCAAAGAACTTGTTCCCTAGCCGAAGTCACTGCTGTACCTTCGTGTGGGTCCAGTTCTGGAGTGTCTATTCTGCTGCATTAATCTATGCATCTGTCCTTTTGACAGTACTGCACTGGGTTACTTGAACTAAGC